GTGGACGCCGCCCGGCTCGGGGCAACGGGGGAGAGGCTGAGCCAAGCCCTGAGACCCTAGCCTGGGGCGAGGTGAGGGGGCTGCCCTTCAGCTGGGGTTTGAGGAGAACAGTGCTGCAGCGCCCCCTTCCCGGGGGCAAGGCGTTCTCCTAACAGCTCAGGGAACCTGCTTGCCCCCCATGTCTTCAAAGACAAGACCTCTGCTCAGGAGCCGCAGGGAGAAGCCGAGTCATGGCAACAAGAACTGGACACTGGCATCCTGGAGTCAAAGCCAGGGCAGGTGCCCCACAGTGAAGCTCGTGTGTGTGGACGGCGGCCCTGAAGCTCTGCACCTGTGCCTCGAGGCCCCCAGGTTCACTCGGACCGCAGACGTCTCCTGAGAGCCAGCGTTTAACGCAGGACACCACATAAACAGGTCTCTGACTCTCAGGAAGCAGTTTCCTGGCAGTGGGTGGCCAGCTGGGCACTGGGCGGGGGGACAGGCTGACACTGCATGGCCTGACACCGCACTACCCGGGCCCCAGCTCGCATTACTAGTTGTAAAATTAAAACTGTCTCAGTGCCTGGCTGGTGGTGTCTCCGTACTTCAAACAGGGAAGATGCCGAAAGGCATGAATGGATATTGAAAACCTGTACTGGGCTGGTGCCCCCCAACCCCGGTCCTCCCAGATCCTCAGGATGGGATGGTATTTGGAAACAGGGTCTCTGCAGCCATAACGAGTCGGACAAGTCCAATGAGATGAGGCCGGCCTGCAGCGGGCCGGGCCCTACATACCAGGGAACCTGGGCACAGACACCGGGGGACGACAGTGGGTGAGGGTGTAGGCAGCCTGGAGCCCCCGGAGAGAGTGTGGACCCCAGAACCATGAGGCCCGGTCCACACCTGGGTCCTGGAGTCCAACCCAGCTCTTCAGGGTGCATCTCAGGCTGTGTAGACTCAGGTGCAGGGCCCTGGGCCCTGCCTCTGCTACCCGTGGCAGGCAGGAGGCTGACGCCCCAGACCTTGGGGGCCCCGTCTGGGCTGGCCTGGGACTCTGCTGAGGGGAGAATTGCTGGGGGCTGGTAGGGGCTGGAGGGGCCAAGTGTGCTCAGCAGCTTTTAGGGACCCAGTAGACCCAGGTGCTGCTCCCGCGGGCCCTGCACCGCTGCTGGGGGTCTGGGGCACTCGCACCTGCTCCCTCCGCCCGGGTGCAGACCACCAGTGGGCCCTCCCTCCTGTCCTGGCCGTCTGGCAGAGAGGAGAAAGGCAGCGGACAGAGGTGGGTCGGGGGTCGTGGCTGGGCAGCCCAGGGGCCTCAGCAGGAGCCTGCTGACCTGAGCCTCGGCCTGCCTTTAGCGTGCTCTTCAGGCACAAGGGTTTCCAGATCTGGCACCATGCGACCCTCCCGCCCAGGGCCTGCGTGGACCCTGCCCAGCATGTGTGTGCCTGGCTCCATCAGGACAGTTGGGGACAGGCTGACTCAGGAGCTGTGGCAGTCGGTTCTCTGGAACAGAGTGGGGACGCCTCTGTTTGCTGTTCTCCAATCACATGACCAGGACATTGGGGAAATTCTGCGATTGCTAGCGTTTTTAGGACTCAGGAAGATGCACACAAGACCTGCTACTCTGGGTCCTCGGGGAGGGGTCTTCAGGCCTGGAGACAAAGCATGATGACCTGGAGCGCATTCAGGGGTCCTCCACAAGGGGCACGTCTCCAGGAGACCCCAGCACGAGCTCAAGCACGAAGAGGGAGCAGTGGTTCCCACGTTGGCAGGGAGGCCCTGTGTGCACGGAGGGTAGACGGCACGCCCAGGGTCCACTGGGAACCATGTATTCTAGGATTCGGTCGTTCAAGCTCAAGATGTCCTGACTGTCCTCGGCGGTCCCCAGCCCAGACACCTCCGACAGTGGCCACAGGGAGGCACTTCTTAGTTTCTAGCACCACCTTCTGGAACCTTCTGAAATTACACCTGCTCCCAGGGGCGCCGAGCTGAGGAGTTTTCCTGTTTGTCCAGAGCTCAGGCGCGTCAAGGACTCACGCCAGCAGGGCGAGTGCGGGAGGGGGCGCCACTCAGATGTTTGAGTCGCGGGAGGGCAGTTACAGAGGCACCTTCCTAAGGACACGATTGGTGCCATGTGTCCAGTCAGCCTGGGCCCTTCCCAGCCCTGCGTGGAAACTCGGTACCTCGGGTCACCACACGTGGCCTGACCAGCGTCTGCACGCCCTGGACAGAGGGACGTGAGGATCCTCACAGAAAGGAGGGATGGTTAGACCTGAAGGCCAGTGGGGCACTGGGACAGAGAGGATCTGGTGGGAAATCAGGGCGTCCGACAGCATCTGCCTGTGTGATGGCCGGGCTCTGTCCCTCCAGGGCCGGAGGGACGTGCGTGGAGGCCGGGGGCCTGGTGTTTCCGCAGCTTCTCTGAGAGTCTAGAATTATTCCGAGATAAAGCTTTTAGGAGAGAACGTGCAGAAGTCCCAGAGGCAGGTTTTGGACGTGGGACCTCTGAGCCTGGCCCTGAAGGGACATGGCAGCCTACAGTTCCCTGCCCCAGGAATCCCGAGGCCGTGCTGGGTCTCTGGCCATGGCAGCTGCTAGCCTGGACTGTGGGGTCCTGGCCAAAAGCCACGCTGAGTGGGTGGCCTGTCCCCCCTGAGGGCGTGGGGCTGGCCCTGCCCCCACCCACATCCAGGCCGGCCAGTCTGGAGCTTGGCTTTGTGCAGTTCGGATCGGGGTCATTCCTGAGAAGGGGCAGAGCGCCTGAGCTGCCGTCCAGGGCTTCAGCGGAGGATCGTGTGGACACCCCTGTGCCTGTTTCCCCCGCCTTCCTGCTGTCTGTCCAGCGTTTTCTGAGGCATCAGGTGACTGTGCTGCCCTGGGGTGGGGACAAGGAGAGCCTGTCCCCGGGGTGGAGGTCTGCTCCTCAGTGGAGGCCCTGCTTGCTGCCTGGGAGCCTTCCTGTTTCAGGAGCCTGGGAGGAAGGGCAGAGCCCAGGGCAGGTGCTCCAGCGCCTCGGTGAGGCAGGGCCCACCCGCCGTGAGCTCAGCTCTGCAAATCGTGTGGCCTCTGTGAATGTGGAGCACCGGCAACCAGGCACTGTGATGGTCACTCGTCCAGAAGAGGACAGGACTGTGGAGGACAGGAGTCACCCACCCACCTGCCTACCTACCTGTTCACCCATCCACCCACATCCCCGACCCCCCATCCACATGTCCACTCAGCTGCTCGTCTGCCCACCTGGCCACCTGTATTCTCACCAAACTGCCCCCTGGCCCCGCGTGTGCCTCAGTGGGTGCTGGTGACAGCATGTGTCTGCCAGCTCCTGGAGACACCTCCTTTGTTAGTGTAAACTTGCCGACATCCCCTAAACTCAGGCCCCCTGGCCTCTCCTGCATCCCCCCCGCGTCCAAACACCCACGTCGGTCAGACCCACTGTCTGGAGGCTGCAGGGCGCCAGTGTCGGCTGCCTCAGTTTTCTCCGAATGCATGATGAAAATCCTCGAGTCTGCCCCTCAGGCCCGCCCCCCTCCCACCGTGCTGCTGGCCTCTGCCTGGGGGCCACCACACTCACCGGAAAGACAAGCTGCCCACCCTGCGGCAGCGCCCTCCCGCCTCCTTCCATGCTGCACCTCCGCCTGAGCTCTGCTGGCCGCCCACCGCAGGACGTGGCGCCCTCCACGGACCCACCACCCTGGGGCTCCTCTTGTTCGCCCTGTTTCTTGAGGCCGTCTGCAGGCGTGTGGTTTCTCAGGGCACTTGGGCAAGCACGGCATATGCCCGCCTCACCTGCTGCCGCTGCCCCCACTGAGCTGCCCTCCAATCACTCCCTACTCCTCGGCCTCCGCTGCCGCTGGGAGGCACCCCTGCTTACTTGCCCTGGGCTCCTTTCGGGCATTGCTCCGCCCTCCCCGAGGAGAGCTGGCCATGGGCAGGGGGACGGGTCAGTATGGGGCTTCCAGCCGACGGGGCGGGAGGACAGTTATGCTCTGATCAAAGTGCACTCCCAGGCCCAGGGCTACGGGGTGACAGCTCCCACAGGGGTGTTGACCCGTTCGCCTGGACCTGAGCTGGCATGGTTCCACACGGAAAGCAGAGCAAGTGACCGGGGGGCATGCAGGATGCCCGCAGAATGCCACCAGAAAGGCAGCAGGAACCTCGTGTCGTGCGGTTGCTTCTGGTCCAGCACAGCACCCAGGGCAGGCATCCCCGGGTCCCACCCTGTGCCGCGCGACGCCCGCCCGCCACCTCAGGATTCCAGCCTGCCTCTTCTCACACGACCTGCGCCCGCTTTGCGCTCTGGTTCGGCCTCATGTGTCCCTGTCTCTCCAGGCCAACGCCGGACTGTCTGACTGCCAGTCGCCCTCAAGTGCTGCCCCTGAGGCTCTGGGCTTCTCCCGGCACCGCCCTGGCCTCCGGGGCCACCCCGGCCAGCCACAACTTGTGTGACCGCGAGAGCCTCCTGCTCACAGTGCCTGAGCCAGTGGGTGATGCGTGGGCGGGGAGGTGGGATGTGAACGTGCCCACTGCTGTGGCTGGAGGCCGTCATGGGAGGTGCTGCGGGGCCGGGCGTGGGGAAGGGGCCCCCACCAGGCACGGAGGAGCAGCTGGGCAGGGACCCTGCTGGCCCATCAGCAGGGAGGTGGGTGTGCGTTCTGGCCCTGACGCCTGCCTGCAGCCGAGACTGGCGTCCAAGTGCGACTTTACAAATGTGAAAGGGCGGGAACCTCAGAACAGGTTCTGCGCAACAGCCTTGGGACACACGTCTGCAGTGTGTGGACTGCACACTAGTGGCTCTGCCTGGCTGCATGCGGCTCCGGTGTCAGGAGGCCGAGGGTGTGTTCCTGCTGCAGGGAGCGTGTCTGAGCAGGACCCGGTGCCTCAGCCTCCCCTGCGGAGCCACGGCAAACAGCATTCATGGCACCCAGACTTTATTCCAGCTGAGCACCCATGACATCAAGGAGTCTGAATGTTAGGAAACCGCAGAATATTAAATAAACTTCCAATTGTCCGAACACCAGAAGAAGATGAAAGTGTTATGGTAACAGTGAAATAATTGGGCTCGTTTTCAGTAGAAACTCAAGCTGGTTCAATATGGAAATAAAGTTTTGAAAAAATGATAAGGACAGGGGAGGCGGGCCTGCCCCCAGGGCAGTCCTTGGGGGCGCTGTCCTCAGGCCTGTTTCCTCCTGACCTCCCGCATCCACAGGATGGCCCCGGAGGGCCGGAGGTGTGTGGCCCTTAGGAGGTGAGCTTGGCGTAGCTGGGTGGGGACAGCTTTCGCTTCACGGACTTGAGGACGTAGAGCGGGAGGCAGCTGACCACGGTGATGGCCGACACTTTCCACACGAAGGTCACGGTTGTGATGAAGGCAACGTCTGCACAGAAACACAGCCACATGCCTAAGAGGCCACGAGGTGGCCACAGGCCGTCGCGCACGCGTGCAGGCCTCCCTGGGCCTGGACCGTCCTGGCCTCTCTGGGTCGGCACCAGGAATTAGAGAGGTGGGCCCGGGGACTCTCAGGACTTCCCTCTTAGTTCTCCCCATATGCTGGGTACAATGAACTTTCCTAATAGAAGAAATGAAACCGGAGTTCAGGGACCATGTGACTGACATCGCCAAACACCACTCACTGGGCAGATGCCCTGCGTGTCTGTGCTACTTGGCCAGGGAGGAAACACCTGCACGTGCCTGCTGATGCATCTGGGCCCACCTCTAGCTTTTAGGGAGCAGTGCCCGTGCAGGAGGGGCCTCCCCTGCAGGCCTGTCCTATGTGCGCCTCGTCTCAGAGGAGCCCTCACCAGGCTCCCTGAAATTGCCTCCTGGTTACCTGAGACTCACCACAACACAGCCGCAGTGCGATGACTGGCTAAGTGAATTTGCTACAGGAAGAGGCCTGTGAGAAACCTGCCATCCTCAAGTGGCAGAGAACCCTACAGACTCCTTCAGGAGGCGGGATCAAGGGGGGGTCACACCGATGGCACAGGGGGCCCACTGGTCTGTGGGCAGGGCATCCGGGCCCACAGAGGATGGGATCCTGGTCTGCACTGACCATACCGTGACAGACCCTGAAAGCGTTTTCCAGGCGCTTGACCACTAAAAATTAAAAGGCAGAAATGTTTCAAGGAGTGACACACCGTGAGCCCTGGGCACGGCCCTCACAGGCCCTCAGGATGTCCGGGGCACCCCACACCAGTGAGCCACGGGGCCCAGAGGGGCCACGCGGGAAGAACCCCCAGCCAGCGCAGAGAGTCACGCAGAAACCAAGAGCAGAGGGGGTCGCTCTGATCAGTTACCGTCTCCATCAGCATCACTCTGAGAAATTCCTATGCTCGTAAAGAAATGGTGACTCCACCTACCTAGGAAAGCTCCAAAAGACAGTCCGCCTGTGCCTGTTCAAGGACAAAACAGGAACAAACGCAATGAAGGACAGATGGGGGGAGGCACCCGGACGTGCACGCTGTGGGTGGCCGACAGCAAGGAGCCACGTGGACAGGGAAATGCTTTGCGTCTGGTCTTGACCCCTTTGCTTCACGTGTCACCACGTGGTTTTTAAGCATAACTGAAACACAGTAATTAACTCCTCATACCTGTAAGGCATTCGATCAAACGTCCCCCCACTGGACCAAAAAGTCCCAAAGGGATTTGTTCCCCAAATGCAAACCCACTCGGTGCTGCTGTGCCTTGCACACCATGAAAGAAGTTCTGTGCATGTTGTCGGCACACATTTAAATGCAGCTTGAGCGTGTTACCCGGCCCTTCGAGGGCGGTGGCCTGGCCTCCAGTTTGGAGATAAGCAGGCCGAGGCTCACAGGGCAGCCTGCCCGGCCCGCCCCTGTGCCCATCTTTGCACCTCAGTTTTAGGGTGACTTCACGAATCCTTTTAGCCATGGACAAGGTGCGATATTCGCATTTGCTCCTCCAGTTTGGGTGATTCGCTCTGTGTTGTGTATGAAACACTAAATGGAGGGAACATGAGCATTAAATGAAATGCTGTGGGAATAAACCGGCATTTCTCTCCTGCTGAACGCAGCGTGCGCTCACAAGGGAAACGCGCGCGCGCGTTCTCTGCGACAGACGGTGTTGGCTTCCACATCTCCCATCTGTATCTTCACTGCTGAGGGGACCCAGGAGTGTGAACTCACCCATCTTCTACTTTTATAATGAAATTCCTCTTATTTCCCTGCCATTTATAATATGTTAGTTATGAAAATGGAACAGAATTCATGAACTCCTGCTGCCGACACCCGCCGGAGCAGACGTGCACGGCTGAGGTGCGCAGGGCAGAGCTGCCACTACCACACAGCAGTTTGATGTCACGGCCCATTCTCGCCAGTCCACTCACTGGGAGAACGAGGTCTTACCTCTCTCCTAGGGGGGCCACCTTATCCCAGAGGTGGCGGGAAGGCTGCTCAGTGACAGGAAATGGGTGTGGACTCCATTCAAGGGCCACACAATCCCTATGACGGACTTTCAGTCAGTGTTGACATGCGTGAGGCTCGCTTGTCACTGGGCAGGTTTGGGTCTGTCCCCGAGCTGAGGGCTGGTCTGCATCGGCCCAGGTGCCCCAGCATCACCAGCCCCCTTCAGGACGTGCTGCCACCCCCACCGCCATCTGGTCTACCATGCGGCCCCATCTCTCTGAGGGTCCGAGAGGCCCACCCCGAAGCACCCCAGGTGGAGACCAGCATCGCACAGGCGGGCCCAGCCGAGGCCCCCCAGTGGTCCCCAGGAGGCCCAGGGCCTTCCTTCCAGAGCACGTCACAACCACAGGTCTGTAGCCCCGGTACCAGGCCCACCTCACTATCCCGCAGGGGGGCCCTGCCAGGGACCCACCCGGCGCCTCTGCTCCCCGTGTCCTAGCCAGGGCCCAGCATGCCCACTCCTTGTGCCACAGACACCTCATCCTACAAGATGCCAGCGGCCTCACGGAGGGGCACCAGCAGCAGGGCGTGGGGATTAGTGTTTATAAACACGGCCCACGGGGAGCTGCGGAAGCCTGCAGGCCTTGCGTGGGGCCCCTCCAGAGCGCAGCGTGGAGGGCGCTGTGTGGACAGGCCCCATCCCCGTGGCAGCCTGCTGAGGCCTTGGAAAGGGCTTCCACCGAATCCCCGCCACCCGGCTCCCGCCACCCTGACCCCTCTGCCTCCAGGGCTCCCACCTCCTCCCACGCAGGCCCCCCACCATCCTCCCGGCCTCGGTGCTGCCTGCAGCTCCCAGGGGCCTGTGTGAGTTCGAGGCTGCTCTTGCTGCTGAGCCCTCACGCCAGGCCGGTTTTGCTTCTCCCTCGAAGTGCCCGACCTTCGCTCTACCTCCTGAAATCTGGAGACGGGTGAGCCCAGGGCCCTGGCTCCCCGGCACTCTGATGCCCCGGCCGAGAACACCCCTGGGCCTGTGGGCTTGTCACGATAGCTCCTCCTGCGGTCCTGCTGTTCCGTCTGGACTGAGGATTGGCAGGACTCTGTTCTCTGGACAGTTCTGCCTGAGGAGCGCACTGCAGGCCCATGAGACCCTCTCGGGGCAGCACAGACTGCAGCCCTCAGTACAGGTGAGTGGGTGTGAAGGGAGGCTGGCTTGTGCCGAGCGCCGGTGGGGGGACGGCATGAGGGCGACCCGGCACGTCCGTGCTGCTCGGTCGGATGCCCGGCTTCAGCAGGACAGGGAGCCAGGCTCTGGCGGCAGTTCCGGCCAGCAAGGGGCAACTAGCAGGCTCACACGAGGGAGACGTGCGCAGCTCTGCTGACACGTACTGCCAGGGATGCCATGCAGTTTCTCCGCCTAGAAACCTCCAGCTCAGATCCAGAGACGGGTTCTCAAGCAGCCGCTCGGCTGCATTTACAACGTGGACGTGCCGTCTCTGCCCTGCTGGGGCTCGGCCGGGCCTCGGGAACCTTGGGGCACCTGGCAGCAGGCGGGCCCGGGACACACACACTGCCTGTGCTCTCGTCCGACCGTCTGCCTGCTCTTCTCTCTGCCCTGACTTTGAATGCCTTAAAAAAAAACACTCGTAGGTTTGTACCAACTAGCAATCCCGTAACCTGGCTGGACAGACAGCTGGGCTTGATGAAGTGGGCAGGTGAGGCTGGGCCCTCTCGAGGTGAGTGGCCGTGAGGGACGCCCATGGCCCCGTTCCCAGGAGCCCTGATCTTGGGGGAAGGGGTGAACGAGAATGTGGGGTTGGGCTCCCATCGGTCCCCAGGATGAGGTGGAGCGCGATGGCAGCGTGTGGGGGCCAAGCCCGGGCAGGGACCCTGGCCAAGGGCAGGGGATGGGAGAGGATGCAGTGACCCCGTGCGGAAGCCGCTCAGTGGCTGGGCTGCAGGTGGGGCCAAGGCTGCGCGCACGGCGCCCTGCGGCCAGCGTGTCAAGAGCAGGCCAGGCAGGGAGGTGTTGCCTAGTCAGGCGCCGACCCTGGGCAGGGTCCTGCTCTCCTGCGGAGCGCCCGCCGCCTCAGTCATGCAAGGGGACAGACGAGAGCTCTTGTGGGGAGAATTCCTGGCAGCAGCATGACTTCAGTATATTTTTAAGCCAAGAGAGTGACAAGGTTAATTTGATAAATTATCATAAGGAGTTTTTTTCACAAAAGCTTCCCACAAAACAAGCTTCTGTGTTGTGAAGCTTCCCATGTGGGTTTACTGTGATCTGCAACTTGAGACAATGCAGTAAGAAGTAGTGCTAAAAAATTTAAAAAACAGCAATAGGCAGTCACTCAAAAAGAATTCCAAGGCAACTTACCGAAATACTCGTTGAGAAAGGCGAGTGAGGCCACGTAGCAGCCCAGGCTGAGGAGCTCGGCCACGGCCATGAGCCAGTGCCAGGTCCGGATGGTCAGAGCCACCATCAGCAGCTCCGTGAGGACCAGGGCCGTGAAAGAGATGGCCACGACGTGGACGAACTCAGAATCGAAGAGCAGCAGGGCCCCGTACATGAGGACGCCTCCTAGAGGGGAGCAGGGGCAAGGGCCGCCTTTGGGCCTGCACGGGGACGAGGCCAGGCATGGTGGACGGACCGGCGTCCCCACCGGAAGGCGGGGGCACGTGCACACCCACTCTGCACGCTGGGTACGTTTCTTTAAACTCTGGATTATGAATAAAAAAGATGCGCAACCAGCCCGGCCAGTCAGAGATACGATGAGAAGCCAAGGCCTGGGGACCTTCAATACCTGGAAGAGCAGCTGAGCCCCCACTTCAGTCAGTATGAATAGCTGCGCACTTTAGGGGGGCATATCTGACCTGCTAACTCCCTTCCAACCACCTCTGCTTTGGCTGGAACACCAGACAAAGGGTCAGCTGCAACTTCTGCTCACATCTCGGTTTCCCAGTCCCGCTCTCGCTCCAGGAAGGAAAACCACTGTGTGGTCACACAATGTCGCAAGTGCTTATTAAAATCTTCCTGGATTAACATTTAATTAAAAACAGGTCTGTGTTTAGGTGACAAGCCCCACTAAAAGCACCAGGCCTCGGGACCTTGGGAAGAGGCCCAGATGATCGGTGCTGGAATATCGATTCACAAGGTGAACAGAAAGCAACGGTTAATGCTGATGAGATTTTAAGCTTTTGGAACTTAACTGGGAGGTCAAAAGCAATATTGCTAATAGAAGGCAAAAACAGTCTCAGTGCAGGATTAGTACAGCCCGTCTTACCTTGGTAAATACTGATTAAAACCCAGATGAGGAAGGTCTTGAAGGACAAGGATCGCCCCTAGGGTGAACAGCGGGACGGCTCAGTTAGCAGGGTGGACCACGCGCACGGCTCAGCTGCCGGGTGACTCCCCGGCCCATCTGCGCGTTCCCCACCCTCCTGTCCTGCCCAGTGCCCAAGTTCTCCCCCGGGGTGCACCTGATGGGGAGGCCGGGTGCTCGCCTGTTTGACCTTTGGTGACCCTGAAGCCACAGCCACGTGCTCCTCGGCTCCTAGAGACCCAGGAGTGGGTGTGTATGGACATTTACCTGCATTACGTGATGGAGACTTTCTGCGCAATAAAAACAATTTCCTGTCACTTTGTTATTACTTGGGGACAAATATTCCTATATTTAGTTTTTAGTTTCTTCAGATGGAAAAGGATGGCCTATCATACTGATGCCTGAATTTATTATCCCTTAGATCCTTTCTGAAAAAAAACGTCCCATAAATGAGCCTAACAGAGACCCACATGATGCCTTCCTTGGCGGCCTTCACTTTTGAAACTCAGCCCAGGTCATAAGGGACGGGCCTGGGACAGAAGTGCCGGCCCCACTCATGAGGACACCCGCATCCAAGGAGGAAGACGGGCTGCTAATCGGCCACTCTGACCTGGTCAGAGGCAACGTGTGTTAGATGAGGCCGTGTGAGACCACGACCGGAACCACCGCCCAGACCATTACGTTAACTGGCGCCTTTCCGTGTATTTGCATATGCGCCGCGGCACGGCCCTGGAGAGAGGGCAGCCCTCGTTTCCATTCACAGGAGCACCGCAGGCTGGACAGCAGGGCTGGGCAGTATAGGCGCTGCGCATGACTGGGGTGTCCCCACCGTGGAAAGTGCTCTCTGCCACTGCAGCATGGCTGGTTGAGCCGCAGGGCACGGCAAAATCCACGGAGGAAAAAATGCACCATAGCAAAGACTCGAGGACACCACAGAGGGATGCATCCCCTGACGGCCCCCAGCAGAGGGTGCGACCCTCGAGGACATTCAGGGTGGTCAAGTCTGAGCCCGTCGCCTAGAGCTGGCCGACAGCCCTTCAGAACACACACACACACACACACACACAAGGTGGCTGTGCGGCTCCAGTACCATCCTTGGGGACAAGTGTTGGTCGGTGAAAGTTTCAGCTGAGGCCGAGTCCAGACTATAGGTAAGTGCAAGAAGAAGGATTCAAATATGTAACTTACTAGAAGGCAATACTGACTTTAAAAAAGGCAGAAAACTTTAAATGTTCACATATTTTAAATAGGTCCTTTCTCTGACTGGATTGGCTATTTGGTCTTTGTGGACATAACATTCACGTGTAATCAAGTGTGTGGCTGATTTCATTTGAATATTTTAAGGGAAAGTTTAACTGTAGTTTTTTTATATAAAAATAAGCGATGTACTTTATAATGAGATCTGCTGATATCTACTCAATACTATCTATGTGGCACAACCATCACCAACGTCTGTGCTGAAAGACCGAAGGCAGCATGACGCATCTCCCTCGCCAGGATCTGCAAACTCGTCGACTGCTGCTACAGCTCCGGATCCGGGGGGCTGCAGGACGACGAAGCGAAGCACAACAGGACAGACGCACCCCCGGCAGCCGCACAGGCAACTGGAGACACGGTCTGAAAGCTGGGCATAGCCACCTGCCCCAGGGCCCAGCCTGAGCTTCAGAAGACAAGACCTCACAAACAGATGATGCCGCCCTGCTCGGGGCCCACACCCTCTGCCTGTGGTTTCAGGAGACAAAGGACACGTCCGTACATCGCTGCTGACCTTTCTCACAGGGGATTTCCCTCCTGCAGGACGTCTGCCAGAGCCGGGTGACCTGGGTTTGCATCCTGACACCCTTCCTGTGCTATTACTGTATTTACATGTTAAATATTGTGGGCTTCAGAAGTACATTTCTAGCTCTCTACATCAACCAAAACTGGACAAATAAGATCACGCAAACTGGGAGGTTAGTCCACCTGAAGGTCACGTGGATGAAGCGGCCACTGGTCATTCGGTGTGGCTGGTGGTGTGGAAGCACCGTGGCCTTGCCATGTGTGGTGGACACAGATGCAGGGATCGCATGCCAACCGCATACATGACCCGCAGGGTGTGCGGCTGCTGGACCACCCAGAGGCCCAGGGGCCCCTTCTCCCCTGCCTTTTAACCACTTTTCCCAATTTAATTTACTCTCCAAGCCTATATTCTCTGTGTACTTCCCTTGATTGCTATTAGAAAAAAAGAAAATAATTGTTTTTCTCATACTCCCCAAATTACAGTAACTTTGGAGCAGTCTGGGACTAGAAAGGTTACCCTGGTGACTCTGTAAGTGCACAGGCCATCAAGACCTGTTGTAGGTGAGGGTGACACGTGCTGCGGCCACGGGCATGGCCCGTGAGTTCGCACTGACCCTGGTGGGACGGCGCCGTGGAAGAAGACCCCTGACCCTGTCTACCTCCTCCTGAGAACAAAAGGGTGGGCAACACTGGCATGGGCAGGCACAAAACCTCCTGGAAGCTCGCTCACCGTGGCTGCCGCCTCTCGTTCAATGGTTTAAATTGTGGTTACTGATTTATTAAAGTGTGTGTTTGTTCACTCGCACAGGGATGAGTCCAATTTCACCCAAGGGAATGTAACTCCTAGAGTATGCTCGGGTGTGAATGCAACTACACAGAACACTTCGGACCCACCCAAGAACAGGGCACTCGCCAGTGTGTAGCCTGGACCTGCACTGACCTGCTTCAGGCCGGGGTCAGCAGTGGACATTAGGAGACCTTACAACTTCTGAGGGACTTTGTTTTGCAGCGCACGAGTCCATCAGTCTGTCCTAGGGAGGTTGAAGGGCCTTTTCATCTTGCCTGCTCATCTGCGGCCGCTCTGGGTGGTGTCCTAGGTGTGCTCAGCTGGGGCAGGCTGGTGCCGCGCAGACCTGGGTCCCTGCAGCCCCGAGGTCCTGGTGCTCCCCTCCGATCAGCTACCCAGAGGCCCAGTCTTCCACGAGCACCCTCCGTCTGTCCAGGGCCCTCTCACAGCTTGGGGACATCGGCAATGATGCAGAAAGTCCCACTTGTTTTCCCAGTGTCTCTGATGACTGGCCCTCCAGGAAGGACGTGGCACACGGGGTGCCCCAGTGGAGCACGGGGTGCCCTGATCCTGGCTCTCAGGGATGTGGCTTCTGAAGCTGGGAGGATGGTGTCTGCCTCTGTGAGGGCGCAGTCACAGGCAGCTGCCTGCAGACCGTGCAGACCTGGCTCTCCGACCTCCCAGCCACGTCCCTCCGTGCCTGGGGCTACGCTGCTCCCGTGTGGAGGTGCCGGCTCTCTCCACCCAGAAGGACGGAGATATTGATTTCATTCTGGGTTACAGACCAGCCCCAATGTCGCTGTGCCGTTCCGTGTGCCCTGATCCTGGCGGCTGCCGGTACATGGGCACCTCTTGGGCGCCCTGGCTCTGCGGTACAGGGGCTGCCGGCTCACACTGGCCCATCCGACATCTCCGAGGTGCCAGCCATCGGGGACAGTGGCACAGCCCCTGTCCCTGGCTGGCCGGCTCTGCCCTGTCCACAGAGAGGGTAGTTTCCCTGTGAGAGATGCATTTGCCCGTGGGGCCGAGGCCTGGTGCTGATCTGTGGTCCCAGCCACACGCCCCTCCCAGGGACTCAGGGCCGCTTCCCCCCAAGTGGTTATGTGACTCATCCGCGTGAGCCTGACTCATGTGTCAGTCTGCACCCCACCCCGCCTCCACACTGGCGTCAGGACTACAGGCTTGGACACGCGCAGCCTCCTACCACCACTGGCCAGGTGGGCAGCTCCCTCACCCCCAAGCTGCAGCGCTGTGCTGCCCTTTCTCAGTCCTGGGCTTGGATAGCCGTGGTCTGTCCTCCGTTCCGACAGCTGCATCTCCCAGGGGGTCTGGAGATGGCATCAGACACGTGCAGGCGTCTGGCTCCCTTTGCATGGCCAAGCCTGTTGCAGGCTCATCTGCGCTGCTGCGGGGACGGCCAGTCTTGGGGCCGAGCACTGCCCCACTGCCGCACTGACCACCTCTGGTCGTTGCCAGTGTTTGGCAGTTATGAGAGACTGCCATCAACAGCCGGGTCCAGATTCTAAGGACGTGCGTTTCCCCTTATCCTGGGTGGACGCCTAGCAGTCGGTGGGCCCCACGGTAGGCGTGTCGTTCTAGCAGAGGCATCTCCGCGGTGGCCCAGCCTCTGCAGCCGCATGTCCGCTGGAGTCTTGGTGTTTGGGACCTTGCTGCCCTACGGGCTGTGGGGCGCATCCCTGTTCTCACCCGATGACAGACGGTGCCTGAGCCTCTCCACGTCCCTCCTGCCACCTGCACGTTGTCATCTCCAGGGATCGCCGAGCCCGGCCTTCTGCCTGTTTGCTGTGGAACCACTGTGCTGTATGTTTGAAACCAATTTAAGATTATATTTCAATGATACTTTAATTAAAAAAACGGGATTGTTTTCAGTTTCGAAGGTTCTTTACATGTTCTGGACACAAGTCCTTTGTCAGAAGGAAGATTTGCAAACGTTTTCTCCTGGGCCGTGGCTTGTCTTTTCGTTTTTTTAACAATGTCATTCACAGAACATGACATCTCTTCATGTGCGCATGAGTCAGCAAACGACATATAATTCACTGATTGGGGCCCATAGCCACTCCTGTGAGGTATTTTTGACCCTGTAAAGATATTCTTGTGACAAAGTAATGCAGGTATCCGTGAAGAAAGATGCTGGCGGGTACAGTCTGAATCCTTAAAAGCAGCAGAAACAGCATATTGTCCCCAGGCTCACCTCCAGCGGCGGGTGACAACGGCACCTCCCACAGCCCTCCTGAGAGGACGCCCTCCCACATCAACGGTCGGCCAGCAGGACTCTTTTGGCCTGGTTCGCCTGCTGTGGTGCAGACACTGGCTGCCTACATTTCTAGGGTTGCTCATCTAGTTTTATGCGCTGACATGAAAAGCTTGTTTCCTGTGATACTTGTGAGGCAGCGGTTTTCAGTAAACATTTCTGGATCTCTGGAAATACGGAAAATATACCACCTACTAAAACTGTAGCTATTTGCACTGGCTTCCTATAGTCTGTGGGTCTTTGATCCAATTCTGCTTTATGGAGTGATCGATGGTCCCACCATGTGACCATGTTAAACTGAAAAGTTCTACTACTTGTAAGAGTCACAGTGATATCATCATGATAATAATGCTTGACATACATATCTATCTTATTATATTATGGAATAAATGATCAAATATAATGCTTGATATTTCATCTTACTTTATACTATATTAGTGAACTAGCTGTATTTTCTTCCTGATTATAAAAGTAACGTGGGCATTTTGTTCTTCAAGGAACTTTGAAATCTTCATTCCGTCAGACCCTCACGCCAGGAAGCCGGAAGATCAACATGCCTTACCTGGCACCAGTCCAACTGGTTACTGGTTCACTGGGCTTGAGCCTGGCTGCACAATGCCTAATCTAGTTCTTTCTCCGCTGGGCCATACTGCCACAGTTTAGAATTCTGAGCTGGTCATTTCGGGTTACAGCTGCACCCTATGTTTAGCCGGCCGCCTGTGGATTCTGTTCTTGGTGTCGGCTCAGGGGAAGTCGGCCTATCGGGAGGTTCCAAACTGACCACAATCTGTATTTGGAGAGCTGAGTGGGCCTTCCACCCGGTGGGAGATGTTTTGTTACAGAAATATGCTTTCATAATGAATATGATAAACTGAAATATTCAACCTTAACAGAGCTCAGGTTTAGGCCAAATGACGTCTTTTGCACAGCCTCAGGGAGGTGGCGCCCGGGGTGTGGCTTTTCTCGGCGGGATCACCACAACAATAGCGAATGGGTCTCAGACAGAAAAAGATTGCCCATCGCTTTTCAGATATAACTGCGAGTCACAACCAGAAAGAGATGTGCACACACATGGTAAACCGCAGTCGGCAGCCCTGTGCATCCCACGTGGGACAGCTGCGCCGTGTGCGGGCAGAGGTCCAGCCGCAGCGCCAACGAGGACCCACAGCACACGAGCTTCGGGCAGAACAGGAAACGAGCTCTTGCCAGCCGCGGGGCGAGCTCATTAGTCTAGTTGCTGAATTTACAAAAGCTCCACAGATGGTTTGCAGAACCCTTCAAACTTCTAAGTTTATGTACATCAGAGCTTTACTGCGAATACTTGAGAAAAATGTTTTCCCTGGTATGCTTCCCCTTTTGAAGTTTAACTCGAAAGGATGATACCAGAGGAGACACAGAAGCTGCCCACCAGGACGGAGGGGGATCACTCACAGCCAGCTTGGGGAGGGCCTGGCAGTCGGCCCCGCCTACTCCCCCACAGCACATACCCCGTGGGGAGCCGGGAGAAGCCCCCGCACCTTGGCCTACCTTGGCAAGGTCCTTGTAGAGCTCGGGATAGAGCAGCGCCACCTCCGGCTTTACGTCTTGGTCCAGCACGAGTGAGAACACGGGGAACATGGTGTAGACAGTCGCATACCTTAAAGCCAAGAGCAGAGTCTGATTAGCACAAGGACCATCCTTGGCACAGCTGTGCACACACCTCCAGGATCAGAGGCAGAGGTTCAAGCACTGAAGAGGATGCAAAAGAGGCGGCAGCCAGGGCCGTGCGCCCCCAGCACGGCAGGCAGCGTCCACGGGCGGTGGGGTCCGCTTTGCTGTGGTCTTTCAGTCAAGCTGTGTTCTGAGGTCACGTGGGTTCACGTACGGTTGTCAGGTATGATGCACAGGGGGCCTGGGCACCTCGTCCTTGTGACCCCGACAGCGCACGGCCTCGGTTCCTGAGGGGCCATCCGGCTCCTGCAAGCGAGTCATTCACCAAAGCGCCTGTGGGTTGTTCCCATTTCCAGTTATTACAAATAAGACTGCCACATTCACTGCACATATTTTTTTTGTTTGTTTAAAAATAAGTTTCACTTAATTCAGAGGAGTGCCAGCTGGGGTCACACGTCCAGGCGTGCAGTGCTGGGTCACATGGCGGCAGCATGCTTACTTTCTAACGAGACCACTGGAGGGCCTTCTGGCATGGCTGTGACTTTGTGCCCCAGCGAAGCAGCCCCACAAGCTCAGCGCGATTCGGTTCTGCTGCGTTTTCCTTGCCATCCTCCTAGGCGTGCGGCGGCATCTCATCCGGGCTTAAGCCTGCATTTCCCTGACGGCTCATGCCTCATCCGGGTGAGATGTCTGTCCGTATCTCTGTCCACTTCCAACTGGGCTGCTCTTCTGCTGATGGGTTTTGAGCGGCCGTCATACGCCCTTGGCATGAGGCTCGCGCACCATTCCCTGCATTCCCAAAGGGGTTTTGCTGCGTATGCGTTCTGTGGTGCGCCCTCCTTCTGGTCTCTGCTCTGCATGGTCCCCGTTGCTGGAACCGCTGCCCCGGGCAGGGGGTCCTCTCTGCGTCGTCCGCAGATGCTCCGTCGCTGTGAAGCCGTCCAGGGGCAGGTTTCCACAAGTTCATCTCTTGTGGGGTGCGTCACCACCTTGAGTCTGAAAGCTCTCGTCTTTGGGGAATGGGACGTTTTCAGCCTAATTTTGAGTCCTTCCCCAGCCCTGCCCTCTCCTCCTGGAACGCGGGCCACATGCCTGCCTGTCCCCGAGCTCTTGCTCTCACTGCTGTGGCGATGGCACCTTCCAATGTCCTGTCTTCCCGTCCAGCTCCCCTGGACCCTCTGCTGCTGCTGAGCCCACTTCACCTTTGGCTTCGGTTGTTATGTATTTTTTATTAAAATTTCCATTTGGTTCTGCTATGTCTTTGCTGCTCTTTCTTTCACTTGCTCTGAGTGCTGGTAAGAGCTCCTTAGGGCCTCTGCCTGTGGCTCCCTAACATCCCACCCGCGGTGCTGGCGCCCCCCGACCCCAGGCGTCTCAGGCCCGCACCCACTGCCCTGTGTGCCCCGCTAAGACGCTCCTCCTGCCGCGTGTTGTCCTCTGCTAACCCAACGCTTGGTGCCTGACAGACTGGGTCTGGCTGAGTCTGGTGGGGAAGGGGTTGGGCAGAAGACCAGTTCTTTGCGCAGCGGACACCCAGGGGGGCTGCTCATCTCGGCTGGGGAGTTGGGGCGCCACGCTGCAGCCTCGACAGGTGGAAGTCTTGCTCCCCACCTTCCAAGGGCTGTGGGGGGCAGCTTTTCTGGGGTGTTTGACTGGCACAGAGCAGGTATGGTTCGAAGGCTGTCCTGCCGGCTGCCCCTTCCAGCCTGTGGCCAACGCACAGGCGCCCGTGGGCTTTCTGCCCTCGCACCCTTTCCATTTTCAATGCAGGATCCCCCAGCTCTCAGCGTGCCGCCCCACGGCTGGTCCTGCCTGGCCCACCTTCGCCCTCTGGGCCTTCTCACACATGCTCATGTGTAACGTCCAGGACCTCGGCTGTTCCCGGCAGATGGTTTGGGGGAAAAGTGTGTCTATTCCAAAATCTCGGAGGTGGCTGAGCGAGCGAGTTCTCCGCTGGGGCAGCCGCCCAGTGGCAGCCAGCCAGGAGGAAATCCAGGGACACCAGGCTATCTGTTGGCACCGGTTCACCGTGACAGGGCCACCATCCCCGACGCAGGCCGCTCTCCTCTTCAGGCCGGCGCGGGATGTGCGCGGCACGCCCTCTCGGAAGGACGGGCCGCTCTGCCTCACACTGTTCTGGGCTCTTGGAGGCCGCGAGTGGGCAGAAATCTCCAACTGAGTACCTGGGTTTCAGGGTTCTTGACCTACAAATTCAACCTTGAACTTACTAGGTTTGAACACACCAACACTTTCTGACTTTCCTCCAAACCTTTACCTACTCTTGTCAGTTCTCTGAGCAACTCCGACCCGGGGAGTTCGGGGCTGAAAGCGCCCAAGAATGTGGGTATACAGGTCACGTCTGCGAGGAGCCCGCTGACCGTGAGGCACAGAGCATGCAGTGCCTGACTCGCCATGACCACAGGGAAGCGCGCAAGCAGACTCTACTTGTGTAAAGTGCACCGATGAGAGAACTCTTGCTATTCATGCCAGAATCTCTAGCTTTTCAACCTTTTAAAAAAATCTTCATCCACACCCCCAACCAAATTACTCTACGGAGGTATGTGTTCTGCATGGGGTTGGACAGAGCGTACGGTCTGCTGTGACCCCAGCGGAGAGCGCTGCACCACCCAGAAGGTCCCTGGGGACCCCACCCAAGCCGACCTGGTACAGGGCCAGGTGGGCACCACGGGCCGGGTCTGCTTCCCTCAGGCTCCGTGTAGACGGGATCGCACACATGCCCCTGTGTGCCTGGGCCGGTGTTGTAAGCTCTGCCGCGTCACTGTAGGCTGGAACTTGGTCGGCACCTCCACCCACCAGCTGGTGGACGTTCGGGTTTCCCCAGCCTCTGGGCATCATGAACGTGGCTAGGAAGCCACGCACGCCAGTCCTCGTGTCGTGTGGGGAGTCACGGAGGTGGAGGGCTGGCGTCAGCACCTGCAGGAGCAGGGGGTTCCTGGCTCCCCACACGTCCTCACAATCTCCCTAGCCTGGCCTGGGCAGTGGTATCTATCAAGTCTGTATTTCCTGTGTTAATTATATCTTCATGGGCTTATTGGCCATTCCTTTATCATCTTTTGTAATTTATGATCAAATTTCTAGCCTTTTTTAAAAAAATTGAGTTTGCTGGAAATCATTCAATACTCCAGACATGAACCCTGGTCAGATGTGTGTACTGAAAGTGGGTTTCCCATCTGCCTTTTGATTTGATTAATACTGTCTTTAGAAGACTAAAGACTTGATTTTGATTGAGTCCACTTTGTCTATTTTTTAACGGTTCGAGTTTTCGTGCCTAGAAATCTGCACTTCCCTGAGGCTCTGGGTTTTCAGCTGGTAATTCTAGAAGTTTCACAGATGCTCCCGCAGCTTAGGGATCAGGTCCTGCTGCCTGGGGTCTGAAGCAGTTTTTCATGTACTTTACCCTTTCCCAGTGGCCTATGCTGGGAGGGCACACTGTACCCCGCAGGGACGAGCTGCAGCGCCCCAGCTCCGTCTGGGGCACACCACCCGCCCCGATATGTCTGAGATAACACCCAGCCGTTCTAAGGTGCACACACTCAAGGACATAAAGCAAAGCCTCAGCTCCAAGGGCCCCAGGGCAAGCGCCGCTCGGGAACTGCTGCTGCCTGCAGAGGACCCCGTGCAGGATGCCTCTAGCTGGTTTAGGCTGGTGTGTCGCCAAGGGTGCTGCTCACACAAGATGTTCACAGGCGCTTGGCAAGGAGGGGGTTTGGTTCAGCAATGCTGAACATGCTGTTACGAGGCATCTTCAGAACCTTTGGTTTGCTGGTTTGCTCTGATGCACTGTGAGCTTCTGGGAGTGGCTGCAGCAGTGTGGCCCCAGGGGGCTCTGCCAAGGACCGCTTCTGGAGGGGAGGGCACAGCCCCTTCCAGAACCTTAGGCAGGTGGCAGACCCAAGGGCAGGCTAAGCACTGGGGGGTGGGAGGGGGGGTGGCCCACGACTTGCCAGCAGCGTGTGGGGCCCAGGACTGCCTCTGCTGGCCCAGCATGCGCCTCAGGAGGGTCACTGACAGCCTGGGGGCCCAACACCCCAGAGCTGGTGAGTGAGGGTGAGACCCTGAGCCACGTGCTGCTGAACCGCCCTGCACGCCTGGGGCCGGCTTTTCCATCACAGACACGAGATTTCATTTCCTAGGAGCATCACATTGCTTCCTGTCCAGTTGTGTGTATTTGTTTTCCAGATAGACAAAGCTGATGTCATCACTTGTTTTTGAGGACACTTAACTTAAAAGCATCTCTCCTCCATTCCTACCAAATCCAGGGTGCTATGCTCAGGGAAACTACAGACACCTCGCTTCAGTGACGCTTAAACAATGTCCCCGATCCAACGTGGCTCCCAACACAGATCCGGGCCTCCCTGTGGAGACGAGAAAGGAGCAGGGGGCCTGGGTGGGAGTCTACTTACCCCACCATGAGGAATCCCTGGTACAGAGGGACCGAGGCGAAGTAGAAGACGGAGGAGAACACGGCCTTGGAGAGAGAGCAGCGTCAGGTCCACCCTGCCCCCGCCCTGCAGCTCCCGCCCCACGTTCCTGCCAGAGCCTGGAGATGCGTCACGGAGTACCTGCATCGTGGAGATGATGAGGCCCCTGTGCATGACGAACTGGCCGAGCGCCGCAGACCGCTTGTAGCTGCTCCGCCCGTGCACCATCAGCAGCCTGCCGAGGTGCCTGAACTGCGTGATGGACAGGTCTGCCGCCAGGGATGCCTGCTTCCCCTCCTGCAGCGAGGGGCCCTGCTCAGACACTCCCACCCGCAGCCGCACTGCACACCGAGCTCTTAGGGCTCAGGCGAAACAAGACTGAAACTCTCTCCAACGTCGAAGGGGACAGGCCACCGGGGACACCTGCCCACAGGTAGCTGACTTCCATGTCAAAGGAACCCGCCAGGAGTCTGTCAGTACCAAGGGGCAGGACTTGGCCCTGCCTTTAGACACCCAGTGACCCTGGGCATCTGCAGAAAGGTCCTCTATGCCCGGGATCCCCTACTTAGAAAAACAAGCACCTGCTACTTGGCAAAGCTGCTGAGAGGTAAGCGGGGAGGGTGATGAGAAGCCCCTCAGTGCTGTGGACTGGGGTGGGGCTGACAGGTCCAGGAGGTGCAGGACCGAGGGGGATGCTGCACAAGAGCCAGGCTCACCTCCAGGTCTTTTTGGGGGTGTTTCACTGTGAGTGTGGAAGACAAACATCACACCACAGCTCAGAGTTGGCTGGGCGACACGGATGTGCAGACAAGCCCGTGTGTGACCTGAGGGAATGGTGGTGTGCTGGGGTGCTGGGGATCGTGACGCCTGAGCTCAGCTTCCTGGGGACCACAGGCCACAGGGCCCTGCGCACCACTCCAAGGCCAGGCGTGACCCCGCAGGGCTCTGGCCCTGATGGCTCTGCTTTCTACCTGCACTTCATGACAGAGACCCTACAGAAAGACGGCGTTGCCGTGACCCGGTGTGTGGCCCTGGCAGCCCGAGCCACCGTGAGGCGAGGCTGTGGCCGAGGTGCGTACCTTCCCTTCGATGCCGACCCCGCAGTCCGCCGCCTGGATCATGCTCACGTCATTCCCTCCGTCACCTGGGAGGCATGGGAAATGGTGAGACGATGTGATCAGCCTCGACGTGGCCTCGCTTCCCTCTTTACCAGCAGAGGCTGTTTAAGACAGTGGCTAGTGTGGGTGGAATCGGTGTGCAGCGAGAGACTGGGCACACTTCCGTTTGGGGTAAGTTTCAGGCCTCGGTTTCTGTTAGAACTCCATGCTCGCTGGGCAAGGCCACACTGGCCCTGGCAAGCACCCTGCTGATGCCTGCCCAGTCTGGCTCACCGATGGCGCATGTGCGTCCCGTGGCGTGCTGCTGCAGCAGCGTCACGATGCGGGCCTTCTGGGTGGGTGAGCACCGGCAGCAGACCACGGCCGGGCACTGGCAGGCCAGCTCCACAAACTCGAGCTCGTAGTACTTCAGGCAGACCTGCAGGGGAGACCTGGTCACGCCCTTGCCGTCAGCCGCGCTAATATCTGTGGGCGTGGAAAGAGCACAGCAGCCAGGAAACCCCGACCTCCTCCAAGTGGGCAGTCGGCATGCTTCCTGGGTCCCTGTCCCCAGTTACAGCCCCCAGCCCAGCGGGGATTCAGTGGAGACATATGGACAGAACTCACAGGCATGCAGCGCAGCAGGCGGGGCCAGCTCAAGGCCTGCGCAGGACAGAGCACAGTGGCCACACAACTGTCTGTGTGGACAGACAGCGTGGAGGTCAGGGGTTTACACAGGGGCCCAGCGAGGTGCCAGTTCTTATGTGACTGAGACCCTGGAGGACCCCCGATGGACAGCTTCCCCACTAGTCCTTGTCTTCCTTCTCAGCAGTCGGCCCAAAAGACCTTTGTCTTTAATGTAAAATACTCTCAGAATCAACCCTCAATTCATCCTGGTTGGGGAAATAAAGATTCCAAAAGCTGCATGAAGGCTGTGGGGTCCCCACATGCTCTGAAAATCACCCCAGCATGAAGGTCAGGCTGCTAGAGACCCAACCCAGGTTCTGAGACCCTGTGGCACCAACTCTCATCGACAGCAGGCTCACCTGCAGGGACCGTGTGCATGTGTCCGGTGGAGGCCTGCCAGGCAGCCTGTGCCCACTCCGGACCACCTGTACCTTACACCAGAGGGCACCAGGGAGCTACGCTACACATCCCCTGCAGCAACAGCGGGCAACTGGTGTGTGCGTGAGGGTGCACGTCCGGGTACGTGTGGGGCATGGGCATGGAGTCTGCAGCCGCATGCCCGCCCCTGTTCCCTCATGGTCTCTGGTGGGAAGGTGTGCGGCCTCTGGCAGACCCCCGGGCCCCAGGGTGCCTCCCTGAGCCTCAAAGCCAGTGGGTCTTATCCTCACTCTTATTTTCCCTTTGCTCTGACTTTCTCACGTTACTGTGTCCTGATGAAATACATGCATCTTTTGCTAGTCATCTCTACCCTTTCTGGAACATGTCGGCATGTGAGAAAAACAAATGCCCTGTCATCTTAAAAGAGTCACTGCTTCTTGGCTGCAACCTCTCCTGTAAGATATTTATGATTAAGGTCCACATGAAAGCTTTGTGTAGAAGACATGATAAACATGGGCCACGTCTGCAGGCTCGAGTTCACACAGGCTGACAAACTGAAACACAGGCCGCTCTAAGGTGGTGGGTGAGTGCACCCCGTGGTCTCCCAGCCGAGGGCCTGACACCCACGGACGGAGCATGAAGATACCCACGTGTACCCCAGGCACCACTGGGAGGGATGCCATCACGTGGGACCCCAGCCAGTTCCCAGAAGGTGCAGAAGCCTGGCAGCATGGGGGCTCAGGGGGTGACACGCTGCCCTCCGAGCCCCAGAGCAGCTCGGTCCTGCCTGTGGTGGGCGCAGCAGAAAGGAGATGGGGCCCCTGAGAGACCAAGAAGGGGTGGAGGATGTCGCATCTGGAGAGCAGGGCTTGGGGAGGGCCTTCTCTGCTCGACTGGCCACCATGTACGTGTGTTTTTGGGACACAAAAACAGCAAATATTGAATTAAAATACACACTCATAAAGAGGAGGGACTTAGTGCAAGCAGACTTGTGCTCCTTCCCCGAATCCCATTAAAACAACTATAAAGAGAGGTTTCTAAAGACATAACCCTGCAAAGAGGCCAGAGGGGAGAGGTTAGCACACTGGGGGCACTGGAAGGCAGGCGGGCAGGTGCTAACAGGCTGTGAGAAGTCTGAGGCCACCTAGCGGGTGGTGCCCACGAGCCAGTAAGGGAAGCCACCTGGCGGGCAGGTGCCCTGCTCTGGAGAGGGAGGCTCAGGAGGCAGGATGAAGTGGCACTGGCCTGGAAGTGGGGGAAGGAACGCTCCTTGTCCCCCAGACCAAGGCTGGAAAGACACGGTGCAGACCGTACCCCGGCCACTGGCATGGAGCTCTGTGCACCACGGGGGTCTGCAACCTGCCAGGAACAGGACCCAAGTGGTCCTGATAACAACTGGGAGGCAGAAGGCATCTGGGGTGCTGGGCAGCACCGCACGACACCTTTAACACTCTGAGGGGCGATTCCTTCTGACGCAGAAATCAACCAGCCACGCGGCCATCAAACAGGCGGACCAGAGGCATGTTGTTCCCTAGAAGGTCTCGGCAGTCACCCCCTCGAGCCACCTGTCCAGGAAGCCAGATAGACATGCTCTGCCACACTGAGGGGCGGGATGTGGGCAGCACACGGCCCAGGGGGCCCAGCATCGGGGGCAGTGGGTGCAGAGCGGGAGCCGTCCTCCCGAGGACACTGGTCTGTGCGCTGAACCGCACGCCAGGCTACGTGGTGTGAGGAGTGCGACCCTGTGGCAGCTCAGGGCAGCGCGTTGGGGCTGCTCTCCTCCCTCCAACTGGCCGGCCTTGTGGCCTACTTGACCTTTGGGGGGTGACGCTGCGGTATTCTGCACAGCCAGGGCTGGGTTGTAGAAAAGGCACAGCTTCGCCCAGACTTCTGGGACACTTGTGCAGGGTAGAGAGCTGGCATACACACGGCCCCAGAGAGGCCCGTGGCCAGCTGCCTGGGGAGAGGGCCGCCCTGTGGCCCCGGCCTGCTGTCCTGATGAGTAGGCTGAGGAGGACGTGGCCACCCCTCGCTGCCTCGGGGCCTGGACGCTCAGGCTTCCTCTGTCCGGAAGGGTGCTCTTTAGGAAATACCAGTTTCGGTAAATTTAGGTCAAGATTGTGGGCAGCACAGTCAAGACTCTAAGGCAAGCCAAGCTCTTAACAGTGAGATGAGGGCTAGCACCTAAAGAGAATTTTGACTAAGCCTAAACAAATCTACCTTGAACACCGCTCTGACTTTGCTGTGGCGTCTCTCCGGCCACAGCTGCCCACCAGACCACATGCCACTGCTGTGGCCGTCAAGACCTGCAAACAGCAGAGATGAGCAGCAGCAGCTGATAAACACCTTTGACTTGGGAAGCCCCTAGTCAACCTGCAGGAAAAGCAGTCCTGTGCTCGGTCAGAGCACAGCCTGGCCTTCGCGAGACGAGCGGACGGACCGGTGCCGTCGAGTGCGCTCACCTCCAGCGAGTCCCCGGAGATGACCAGGGCGCAGTCATGCCTCCTGCGGAACGAGTTCAGCTCCAGGTGGGCCTCTTCCCGGCTGGTCACCTCCGCAAGGGGAAACAGCGATTAGAGAGCCACTTCAGGCTGCGTGACCACAAGCAAGCCCTTCGGCACGAACCACTGGGAGGGCCTTAGACACACTGCCTACAACCAAAGGCACTTTAGCAGCAAGTCCTACAATAAACTGCTCTCACATCTCCCTGCAGAGCTGGGAATAAACACCCGCTCCTGGAACACCAATTGTTTTCCAATTTGCTGCAGCTCAAAGCAGGAAACTACAGTGCAGATCGAGGTAAAAGTACCACAGTCACAGTAAGATGGTGGACGGAGCTGGCTTGTCAGGCAGCAGGTGACAGGGCGCCCAGCCCACGGGCTTGCGCGCTGAGGCGGACAACGGGCTCTTGTCAGTGCATTTCCGTCAGGGCTCCTGAGCATCAGCAATTAGTTTCTGGTACTCTTGCAGAGCGGGAGCGCGGTGGGCGGGCTTCACCGCCACACACAGCTCCCGAGTCACACTTCGGTGCGCACCTGCCAGAGCCCGGGGAGTGTGCTGCTCGTGGCCACAGAGAGGCTGGGCCGGGGTGGTTCCAAGCCCAGCCTTTATTTACAGGCACCTCTTTCCGTAGTATGCCAAGTGACGCCAATGCTTTGATAAGACTGCTTATTCCTCCGCCATGGGCTCAACTTACTCCGTTGGCTCAGGAAAGCACAAAATCTCGAGGATTAAATAACTTAAAAGAGTAAAAATTAAGTCATAACCTTGAAATACCACTGATTCAGAATGAAAACATTTCAGGCACCAATACACTGGTTTTGGGCACTCTTTTTGCAGGGATTTTATGGGACATAAAAGAAATGATGTTGTAGGCCTGAAATAAATTTAAAGTTTCATGGGGTCCAAATTAACCTCCGACTCATCTTTAAATAGGTAGTTTTTATTGTGAAAATTTTAATTTGTAGTCCTATAACACTGAAAAGTCAACAAAAATTGATCTTAAGTTTTATCAGAATCATTAATAATTTAATTGCAAATAGTAGTCTGCAGGGCCTAATTTGTGATTCTGATGCTTCTAAATAAACTACATTTACATGTAAATTATATTCAAGTAACTATTTCTGTAGGTGTAAGTGCTTCATCAGAACAGGCACAGACACACAATGTCTGTTCACCCATCATCAATCAAGACCCAAGAAACTTTTATTTTTTGTTTGAATTAAATTTAGTCATAACTAATACAGTAAACACATAAATTTAGATCATTTCTATTAATTTTCTCTGATCTAATTAAGGAAGAACATTAAATTTAAAAATGGCAGTAGATTAAAGACATTCCCACTTTGTATTTGAAGCTTGTTCCACAAGCAGCAGCTCTGGACCACAAGCAGCGCAACCAATAGAGAAATGTAAGTTTCACCAATATACACTTAATAAAGTGAATAGAAAATGATGGCAGCATACTATTTTAAAATAGATAATTATTAATACATAATTCTAATAGTATAGCAGAATACTTTTGAATTTAGACCTTGTTTCGCTCTATCAAAAAGCAGCTTTTTGATCACATTTATTGTATGTGACTAAGAGAAATATGTTCTAACATGTTTTTATGAATGGAGTAAGAAAATGACATTTCTCTTTTAAAATAGATATTTAGTAATTAATGAATAACTGCATATACATCCTCACCAAGCCAACAGGTTTTAGTTGTGAAGCAAGACATTTACAGTTCAGTGACTTACTGGCCTGAAAACGTGGACGTCCTGTGTCCTGGACACCAGGTGTGAGCTTTTGGCGATGCAGGTGGCCGTCTCGAGTTTATCGCCCGTGAGCATCCATATCTGGGAACAAACGACACGGCAAGCCTCAGCCGCAACACAGACTGCTGACTCCACAGCTTAGGAGCGCGTGTCCTCGTGTGCGTCTGCACACCCACGTAGAGCGCCGCCATGCACACCAGCCAAAACGTGGGAGCAGCTGCGCCCCAAGGGGTGCGTGGAGCTGCACAAGGAGGTGGACACACAGTGGGGCACCACCCAGCGTAGGAGGATGCGTGGCCATGCTGCGGCATGGATGAGCCCGGAGGACATGGTGCCGAGGGAATGGGCCGAAGCCATGTGACTGCTCAGGAGGCGCTGAGAGTCGCCGGTCAGAGCAAGGAAGGGCACGCCAACGTCAGGCCGGCGGCAGAGTCTGTAGGCCCATGGACGACGGGGGTGAGGGGTCCCCAGGCTGAGGTGAATGAGGCCCCATGTACGTCCAAAGGTAGCATTTGTTTCCAACCTTGCACATGGACATGTGGGCCACAGGCTCCCAGGGCCACAGGCCAGTGAACTGGGAGGGCCCACAGACCCTTACGCAACCTGCTTGTTTTCCAATTGGAAACAAGGTTCAAAAATGGGCAAACAGGCAGAGTTGTTCGTATCAGATACAACATGTCAAATAATACTAATTTTACTTAAAAGAATTACACACACAGCCACACATTATGTACATAAGAATCCCTAGACTAGTAAGAAACCAAAATGAAGACATTTAATATAAAACAGGATGGTTTACATATATTTTCTATAATAGCAAAAAACTTCTAGTCACTCCTATATTACCCAAATTTCTCAGGTGTCTTATGTGTCCTATTTGCATGTTTAGAAACAGGACACAAAAGATTTGTGTGGTATAAGGACCATTTGCTTAGTACTCCCAGTGCTGGAGGGTTTGTGCTCTTTATCTACCTTACACACTGCCAGTCCCTTTACTCAGCCTGGACACAGTCCCAGCAAAGGTGGGCACAGTCGGCACAGAAAAGCAAGAGCCGCACTGCTCACGCGCCCGCATGGGGGCTGGCAGTGTGAGGCCTGCAATGCCACCAGGCCTTCCAAGGATGACGGGAAGCCCCATCCTTACCTGACCCTGACCCCCAAAGGCGAAACAGGGTCTGCCCCTTCAGACAGCAAACGTGAAGAGACAAGCCTGCAAAGAACTGCCCTAGACACTTGATCTGCCTGCAGGGAGCACCCCATGCCACTGCGATGCTCTGACAGCAGCACGCGCCAGTGGGAGACAGCCGACTGGACGACCTGAAGAATCACAGGAGGCGGAGCGGGCCACCTGCTTCCAGTTAGCTGCCTTTCCAGCCCCACTTTCTGGCTGTACCGTACGATGGAAATGCTCCGGGCCCGACACTCCCTAGTAACTCGGACGCTGGCCCCGATGCTGGGGCAGCCCTGACGCCTGTCCGACGCCCGAGCTGATGCTCTCCCCTTCGGGGTCCACCTGGAATCCCGCAGGGGGAGAACGCACTGCTTGCTCCCCGCACAGGGCCGTGGTCACCCACACCTGCCTGCGCAGTTTGCTGAGTCCATCTAGAGATACAAATGTGTCCTTGAAAGCAAGCGGGACCTGTCCACTCTCAGAAGCAGACACCCTGTCCTGGGGCAGCCCTGGACCAGACTCCTCAGGCCCTGACCTTCCTGCTCCGCGCAGCACCTAAGCTGAGAAAGCAGTTCCCTGAACACAGCGACTCAGAGCACAAGGCCGACGCCCCAGACAGGACAGGACACTGCAGGACGGCGACGTCAGGGCGGAGGCAGGGATGTGAGCCTTCAGGGGAAGCACCAGACAGGCGGAGGGTATGGGCAGGGCAGCCTCCGCGCAGGCTCACCCTGACATCTGCTCTGTCGGAGGGCCAGTGACCCACCCGTCTGTGAGCAATGCCCCATGCCTGCCCAAGGCTGGGGTCCCCAGCACCCACGCTCAGTGGAAGCCCAGGGTCCTGGAGTTTCATGGGGGGCACACGAGTGGTGTGGGGGCTGCCATGGGACAAGCTCGGGTGTTATAAGAACCCACCCCTGGGCCCGGGCGGGAGATGGCCAGGGAGTGGGCCAGGCCGGGTGGCGTGTGGTGGGGTGACCGGGGCAGCTTCTGGGAGGGGTGGGTGGGTGCCCTGGGGAGCAGCGGGACAGCTGCTCAGCACGCTCCGCACCACGACTGCACCCGCGGGTCACGATGGAACAGCTCAAGGGATGGTGCTGTAGCCCCCCGGGGAGCCGCCTGGGCCAGAGGCCGGCCCTACCTTGATCCCAGCGTTGCGCAGCGTCTCGAGGGTGGGCCTCACGTCGGCCTGCAGCTGGTCCTCCACCCCCGTGAGGCACAGCAGCTCCATCTCCCGCTCCAGGCTTTCCACCACGGCCGTGACCTTGAGTGCCCGGTCGTGGACGCTCAGCTTGGCCTGAGTGTACCGGCTCTGAGGGCAGACATGGGGGCACACGTGTGTGTGTGTGCGCGCGTGTGTGGCGGGGCCTGACTGTGGGGCTGAGGCAGAGGCAGGCGGGCTGTTCATCGCACAGTCATCGCTGAGACGTGAGTACCTGCAACACTAGGTAAAGGTTCCTTTCCGCCTCCACGGACACCCCTTCCCAGCGGACTGGAGGCGGTGGGGGCGCGGGTGTGGGGTGAACCCAGTGCCCCCGGAGAGTGGCTGTACTGCTGTGGCCACAGGACCTCAGGCTTCAAGCAAGCGGGGCGAGCCCAGGGCCACGGGGACACCAGCGCCCTCGAAGGGCGGGTTACCTCGAAGTCCTGGTACTGGTCTTCCGTCAGCACCCTCTTTGCGACCACGAGGGTGCGCAGGCCTTCCCGGGCCATGTTTCCACACTGGAAAAGGAGATGCAGGTCACACGTGGCCCCCAAGCCCCCGAAGGAGGCAGCAACAGGGGCCCCGCGGCGCTGTGAGGGCCGCGCTCTGCGGTGACGACCGCTCTCCTCTGCGGACCCACCCCGCCAACTCCACGCCGGTCACAGGCATGTGCGTGAGGAGCCGGGCCACAGGGACACACTCCCCCCCATGCCCCTGCCCTTCCTGCCCTTGGGGGGCAGTGGGGGGCGTCATGGTGCAGGGGGCACAGTCAGCTCCCCAGGTGACAGGCACACACTTTTCCACCTGAAATCACGGGTTTGGAGGAATGGCATCGTGAGCCCTGAACCAGAGGCGCCCAACTCCGAGCTGACAGCAGGCGCGGGGCGGGGCGGGGCTGAGGCCGGAGCCCGCGTGGCCGTGTGGTGGGGGAGGCGAAGGCCCCGCACGTGGCCGTGTTTGGTAAGGCCCGAGCCCTAAAACCAGACGGCTCATCTGAAAGCCGGCTCCTGCAGTCCTAGCTTGCGTCTGGGGACGCTGACTTCCTCAGGCTCCCTCCGCTCCCAGGTGAATCGGCTGCCACAGGGCCATCCTGGGAGGCGGCGAGCCCACCATCGGGCAGGCGCCTAGTGCCCCCGCGCTGTGTGCTGTCACCATTTGTTTGAATTTGAGCCCAAGTTGGCCTTGCTGGTCGACCGAGCTGAGCACACAGCCACAGTCAGCCTGGCACATGGGAGGGCGGCAGCTTCTGCAGCCACGAGACAGCCAGACCCGAGGGTCCCTGGGGTCGGGGTCGCATCCTGCAGGGAAACAGAAGCCTGCGCAGGCAAGACGCCCAAGTTTGCATTTTAAAACAAGAAATGGAAACACTTAACAGGAGTGTGAAGAGGTGTCAATTCCACCAGAGAAGGCAACACAGTATCAGAAGACAGTTTTCCCCTTCACAGGAAACAACTAAACGGTCTTAGCTGGAGGCAGGACGGGCGGCGGGCTGACTCTAGGCTGCTTGGCATAGCAGGGGCGGACCTGCTTGAAGGGGACGGGCATCTTCTCTCAAAAGGTGCCTTGACACAAACTTTGCCGCCAGAACTTTAACCCGTACTTTCAGAAGTACACCCCGGTGCTCCTTCGAGCACTGGGCAGCTTTGGTGTTCCTGTGGATGGGGGCAGGTTCCAGAGGACCGGGAAGGGCACACCCGCACGGTGATGGGCGCTGCAGAGCCAGGCCCGGAGGCCGCTGGCTATGCAGCCAGAGAGGAGGTGGCAAGCACAGGAGCCACACGCCACTTCCTCTGTGTAAAGTCACAGTACAGTCCCTTCCCGGGGGGAAGCCCCAGTGCAGGAAGACTGGGGAGGGCTCAGCACTCTCTGGAAATGTGAAATGTGTAGCACAGTGTCCTGCCCGTGTGACGGCCCCGGGGTGGACAGCTGTCACCCAGACACAAGGCCTCTCCTGGAGAAGCAGGCAGGGTGGGTGTTGAGAGGGGCGGCAAGCAGCTGCAAGCGGCACTGTCCCCAGGGAGGCCAGCTCGGTGCTGTGAACACGCCGTGCCCACGGGCAGGCTCCTGCCAACGCAGAGGCAGGGGAGGCACATGAGCTGGCGCCAGATGCATGTGCAGGTGGTCCTGCCGCTGATAGAGCTGTGCCCCAGCTCTGCACTTCAACAGCAGTGCTTCAGGGGAACGTGTCTTTCATGAAAAGTAAAAACGTAAAAATGTGAGGTCACCCCTTAACTGTCTGAGCTCACTGACCGTGCGGCTCCAGCAACGCCACCGGCCGAGGCCTTCCGAGGCCAGGGTCTGAAAGGCCTGCCCCTTCCTGTTGACTCCCTCCCAGATTCCAGACTGCGGAGCATCTCCAATTCTGACCATGTGTGCAGAGCTCTGGGCCCCGGCGCACTGGGTCTGCCTCTGGCGTTTGCACGCCGAGGGTGGCGGCCGCCTCCTTGTGGAAGCCACACTGTGAGGGGCCACAGGAAGGGTGACGGGGGTCAGAGGGCTTCTCCAAGCGGAGAACGCACAAGGATGAGAAAACAAGTGCACACAGGATTTTTAATAAAGTTATCTTTGTGAAAAACAGCCTGACATAATCTGTCTGCTGCAAGACATTTATTGATCTGACTGCATAAAGCAAAATAAATTAAGCAAGTATTTTATAATTAATTGCACATCATTATGACCATAAGTAATTTTTATGGCATTTTGCTAGGTCTTCAGGGAGTTTAATTATTCATGTCCCTGACTGAATCCAAGTGCCTGAAGGAGCCATCGATTTGGGCCAAATTTGCTGTGGCCCTGGGGCGTGGCCCTGCACTGACAGGCCGCTGGGCCCGCAGGGACGTGGGGACAGTGGGGCACCAGCAGTAATATGCAAATAGAAGAAAGGGTCATGTTTGTTACTGAAATGGCTTAGTTTTACTTTAAAACCCAACTTTTTATTAATACATAAATGTAAACAACAAATAATACAGCCTCATGAGGCCGATCAAATCACACTGGTTTAGTGAGTATTTGATGAAATGTAGGGGTGGTTATATTTGTATTTCATTTTCTCTTTTTAAAGTGAATCCTACACACAAATGAGGATTAGATCGAAATCCAAATTCAAATTTCCTTGCAAATAATTTAGGTCACAAAATAAATATATTAAAGTACATCTTTCATTATATATATATTTCAGAAATTTTTCGTGAATGATTAGTAATGCTTTCTATTTTTTCACCAATTATACAATATACACTTCAAGAGGGCCTCCCTATACACCTACATGCATTCACACAGAAGCCAAAAAATAGTTCATACAGAAAGTAAATGATTTATCATTGAATACTACTGCTATCCGTCCTGCTTCCCAAAATTGAGAACTAGAATCATTTAAAATAATACACTGGAAAAACAACGCTGCCTTTGGTAGCCTATCAATGTCTGGTCTGAAACGTGGCGTCTCAGTGTGCCCCCGGGACAGCAGTGTGTACGGGGGACCCGGTGCACTCCGGCCTATCACACCCGCTCAATCTCGTGGAAGCATTTTGAACAGGACAGCTCACCTCTTCCTCCAGCCAGTCGTTATACTGGACGATGGTGGCCATGGCGACGTCAGCACCTTTCATGTAGAAGGTGATTTCTGCCGTCGACTCGTCCTGTGAGGGGACGAAACCAGCGTGTACATCAGCCACACCGCTCCTCGCAAAGAACAGCGGCCCTAACAGAACGCCAGGGGGCCGCTTCCCGCGCAGCATCCTCGGGGGGCACGGCCCTCGGCTCCCGGGCAGACAAGGCCTGAGAGCGACTGCAGTCTTGCAGGGCTGTGCTGACGTCTCTGACATAAAAAATGTTGGTGGATAGATGCCTTGGACCGAGAGGCGAATACTACTTCTCTCAAATTTCCAGTTTTATTGAATAAGCTTCCTTGTTTAGCCAACTTCCAAGATACATTTTTGGTATTTGCTTATAAAGGTCAACGGGGAGGATCTCACCATCTCTACGGTCATCAATCACTAAGTTAAGCTCTCGCTGCTGATGCTGACAACGAACCAGCTTTCACTGACCTCAGAGGCCACGACATAAATGACCCCTTTCATTTACTCTGCCTTAGTCATCTCAGGTAGGGTATTTTAAATCACTAGCATTAGAGCCACACTAGCTTCTCAGTATAATTAGTTTAGATTTTACTTTAAAAAACCCTGTAGGCAGCACGAAGCATGTGAATGAATGCTGAAGAGGAGAGTGTGGGGCGAGCAGTGACACCCCTGCAGCGACCCCCCCACCCCGCAGTGCCACACCCCCGGGGAACACGCGCACCCTGACGATGACGCCCATCCGCTTGCTCTCCGAGGTGAAGGGGAACATCTGCAGCACACAGTAGGTCAGAATCTGGCCGCTGGGGGTCCTCAGCTGCATGGAGGTGAGGTCTCTGTTGACCAGGGTGAGGCCGACGCTCTCTGTCCACTGCACCAGGGCCACCTGGGGAGACCAGTGAGACCTGAGGCCGCATGCTGCCCACCAAGGGGGCCAGGAGGGCAGCAGGGACGTGGCCAGTGCACCCCCCGCAGTCCTGGAACTCGTCTGATTCCAGGGCCTGTTGGGGATTCGCTTTACAGGTTGACAAGCAGTGATGGCCTGGGGTCCTACTGTCCATGTGAAGGCCACTGCTGGCCACATGCTGTGGGGGTGTGGGCTCCCTGGTGCCCAGCCCAGGGCTGAGAGGGAGGCCTGGCCACCAGTGCCCAAGGGCCCAGAGCCAGGGCCAGGGGCTGTCCCCCATCTGGGAGCGGCACGCAAGGGGAGGCTCCGGAGCCCTCTCACTTACCTGCTCCTCTCACAGAGGAGGTAACCGACCGGAACCTACAGCCGCTACGTCTACACACGACCCCTGAAAGCTCACGGCTGACAGCAGCTGAGGGGAGGCGCCTGGCACTGGGCTGCTCGGCCACAGCTCCTCCCGTGGCTGAGGCCCACTCGCCGTGGAAAACACGTTCACAAACTGCTCTCAAGGTGAAAGGATCAAAGTAAATTCCCTGGCATTTGGCGGGCACTCAAAGACAGAAGCTATTTTTATGATTTTTTATTATTAAAATGTGAAAATCCTAAGTGGAAGATAAATTTTTTAAGTTAATAATCTATAAAGCATATTTTTTTATGATAAGAGGTATTGTCTAAAAACAGAAATAGTTTAAGAGCGACGCCATTACAAGGAATTCATCAGTTAAAACACTGTGTGGCTCAGGGACGTGTCACAGAGGATGTGGACCTGCAAGGGCCGACGGGGAGGCGACGCCTCATCGGGGCAGCCAGTGCCCTCCGCCGGCTCCGGGACTCTCTCGCCCTGCACCCCCTGGTCTCTCCCTGCAGGAGGCCCTGGTCCCTGCCATCAGTTCTCTTCGATATCTGCACTTCAGCATCTTACTGAGGGTTTTGAGAAACCAAATCAGGGGAATTTTACGTTCTGTTCAGTGAGCAGGATGTCACCACTCTATCCTACGTCCTCTGAAATTCTCAGCAGTTCTGGTCCCAAGGCTGGACGGGTGGGGACAGAATCCTGGCGCTGCCCCATACCTCCACGGATCTGGGCAACAGCCACACCCTGGGCCCCAGCTCTCTCCTCTATGAAACGGTGGTGCCAGGCCCCCCGGGCCACTGTGGGGAAGGCCCGGGGTGAGGGCTCACCCTCCACCCTCTGCCACACCAGGACCAACTTACCATGAGGTTTCCAAGTCCCTTCCTGCAGATCTAAGCACAGCTAAGTTCCAGAAGCCCCATGCTGCTTTTAATGCCCCAATGCTAGCGCAGAGACGCTCTGTGGGCACGTGAAGATGGCAAGGAAGGAAATGCGGGCATGAGGTTCCTCTGGGTCACGGAGATGCTCTGTGGGGGTGGGGACTCAGCTGAGGGCCGCCTGCTCTTGTCGTGACTGCCCCCTGGGAAGCGGGTGGCTGCACTTCTGGAACTGGCACCCGCCTGAAGGTCTGTTTTAAAGAAATCTGCGACAGATAGCTCTCGGCCCCTTCCGTGGGAGGGGACTGTTTCCCAGACACTTCAGGGACCCAGAAAGGGATTACATGGACACGGACTGTCGTAAAGACACACTCGTACAGTCGTGAAGTACAATTCCACTTTCTTTTATGTGTAGTCGATGCATCAGAATTCACCTTTTATAAATGTCTATTTTAAGAAGTCTTTGTATAGTAGTGCTACCTATGATAAATGGAATAATTTCAGAAGGGCAGGATGGAGAGTGAAATTATAAAAATGATCCTTATTTTTGGTTACTTCAGTTACAAAAAGTCAGAATGCATCCCCAAGGGGCATGGGTCAACCAGCCTGTCTGAGCCCCGGCCCATTGGAAACGGACAGAAAACGACTGCTTGGCAGAGCGGGTCTGCGTGAACGGGGCGGAGCCGCCTGTCTCCCGGCAGCCAGTGGGGGCCTCGCGGAGGCGGGCACAGGGGTCCGGGGGCCTCTCCCGCCCCGCGCTGTCTCCCCACCAAGCCCCTGGCCCCGCATCCTGCATTCACCCCACACTCCGGATGTGGGCCACAATTCAGCAGGCTTTCTTGGGTAGGAATGGCTATGTGGGCAAATTTCTCCCCAGTCCCAATTTTCTCATTTAAAAATAGAAATTGTACTTAAATTAATAAAATCATAGTTAGCTGACTTGCAAACTCAGGACATAAAAACATTACGCGTTCGACTGCCAAGCGGTGAGATTTAACTCTGCGGAATCACGAGCGGCGCTTCGCCTCGGCTCTTGCTAACCGGGCCCACCCTGGGCCGGGGGCCGTCTCTGCGCAGCGGCCGGCTGCGGACCCGCCCGGACCCTCTGTCCCTGCGGTGGCTGCAAGCGTCCGACGGGCCTGTTCATGGGGTCCCTACTGGGTATTGGGAACCAGGGGTCGGATCGGAACATGAGCTCGTCAGGCAGGGCTGCCGCACAGGGGCAGGGCCGGACGCCCCGGGTCCCCATCGCGCGGGCACGGCGAGGCGGTGGGTGCGGCACCTGGGCAAGCACTCGTGCTGCCAGACGTGGGCCTCCGTGAACCTGAAGCCCCCCACCCACAAATGGAACTGATGCTCGTCTCCTTTTCGTGGGAGACAGATGAGGTGGGCATATCTCTACTTCATCTGTCTGATCGATGACCCCAGCAAGGTCTCTGTGCTCCCTTCCAGAGTGTGAATCACACAAACAACAAGCTGAGAGCTCGGCGCTTGCCACACGCCGCGAGAAGCTGCTGTGCAGGGCTCCTTTGCTTCGGAGACTGTGCAGGCTCTGCCCAAGGCTGGCGCCTCGGTGGGGGACCCCACGTCTGCGCCTGGGCCGCGGTCTCCCAGTGGACCGGTGCCTGGTAGTGCCCAGCTCTTGGGAGGCGACCTCCCAGCCCTGGGCACATGTGGGCATGCTGCCCAGTCTACTTGAAATGTGCTTTGTGGAGAGGCACAGGGGCTCAGGGGGCAGCAGGAGCTCTGTGGGGCAGGAGACTAAGGTGAGCCACGTCTACGTGGACGACCCCTAATGAAACCCCGGGTGCCGAGGCTCAGGAGGGCTGCCAGGAGAAGTCAGCACTGTCTGCACAGCCCGGGGGAGGTCAGCTGGGGGCTCTCACCAGGCCCCTCCCTGGCTGATTTAACCCTTCCCTCACCGTCTCGACGGTGACTGTGAGCAAGACAGCCATGCAGAGCTCCGAGTCCTTCCAGTATCGGACTGCACCGGGCTGTGGGGACCCCCGACCACTCCAGAACACACACACCCATCAACTGCCAGCAGGCTGGACCGCCTGAGGCCCCCTGGGTGAGGGGAGCCAGGCCAGCTCAGCAGCAAGCGCACCCAGCTTGGGCAGATGAGGAAAAAGCCGAGGGGGTGACAGCCAAGTGTTACCTGGAACTGCTTGGGGGAAAGAGCAAAGAAAGCAGTCTTTCGGCTGGAACTAGGGTGTTTCATTGCTTTGTACAAGTAATTAAACTAAAGCTGCCTAGAGAGGAAGCATGGGGCCTCTGGGAAGGACTGATGTGACTGACGGGGTGGCGGGAGGCTGCGTCGGGGCACGTCCCTCCTGCAGGCAGATGAGAGCCCACCCGCAGTGGCTTCCTCGCCACACTTTGCGAGACACCGCCACTCCGCCTGCGGTCCCCGGACGTGGCCGCAGGGTCACGGGACACGGGAGTGCAGACAGCCGAGGCGGCGAGCCCCTGGCCCGGCCCCATGCCCACACACTGACGGCTCCTTCTCGCCGGCCCTGCTCTGGTGGCCTGTGTGCACGGTGACATGTCGCCATTCTTGCTCCCGGAGTTGTGCCACTGGGTCCCAGGTCTGACAAGGTTGTCTTTCGGAGGACACGCACAACTCCAGGGGTCTGTAGGCTTGCTGGCTGTTCAGCAGTGAGTCAGGTGCAGCTCAAATTTAGAGCTCACTTGCCCTGGCTTTCCAGTGTGTTACTAAGAGACTGAAGTTTGCTGAGATGAAATCACACTACAGATAATACAGTCCTATAATTTAGAGCATCAGCAATATGCGCTAAATTACAGCACTAAAAAAAGACACATGAGCCCACAGAAACAAGAGCGTGCCCAGCAGGGCTAACTCAGCTGTGCGGCACCACATCAAAGTAAGACCAAAGGGAAGCGTGCGGTCCTTCCCTGCGGGACTTCTCCGTACACTGCAAACGCTCCCGTCCGCCCCAGGCCGAGGTGCGGTTCTCACCCTGCGGCCTGCCGACTGTGCCTCTGTGGGCCCAGCCCAGGCCTCACTCCCCAAGACACCCTCCAGCTGCTGGCACACCTGCCTGTCACTCGAGCCCATGTGGCCTCACTAACCACTTCAGGAGCAGCGCATGCGAAGCTCTGATACTTCCTTCCCTGGCCCAGCATTTTAACCAATATCAACTGGAGGGTCAGCTCCCTACATGATGCCAACCAGAGGGAAAGAGCACAAAAATCCCACAGAGTAGATGCCTTGATGTCCTAATGCCACCACTTGGGGTCGGGCAGGATTCTTTTTTGTACTGTAAGGCAGAACATTCTGGAACAGGCCTGAACCTGGGGAGGGCACAGGCAGGCAGCACACCTGTGGCCCACGTGCCCCGTGCCCCTCGTCCTGGCAGATGTGCTACCTGGGCCAGCAGCCGCGGGCCCACGACAAGCAGGAGAGTCTGGCTCTGCATTTGAGCCTTAAGACCTTGTGTCGGAGCACGAACCCAGGACGCCCTCACTGTTTGGGTGTATTAGTGGCATTCTTTCTAAAAGGCTTCTAGAAATGTTCTATCTGGGACAAGTAAAAATTAAAGGGCAGGAAGGTTCAAAGTCTGACTGCCTCCTTCCTGAAGGCACTGGGGCCATGATAGCTCGTTCCCCTGGAGCCTGCAGCCCTGCGTCTCCAGACGGACAGCAAGGTGCAGGGGGCCCCTCGGGAGGGGCAGTGCTGGCCTGACACTCGAATGGGGCCACACACAGACCCTGCGCAAGCCCTCAGC